ACTTTGTGCTGCATTACTACGAGTAATAAATGCTACCTACAGAGAAAGTATTTAAATGAGCTGAAGTAAGAGACGGTTATGATCTACAAATATCTATTTGACAGAACTGATGAAAGCAAGTATAAAGCAATATCGCCATGATGATATATATATATATATATATATATATATATATATATATATATATAATCATCAACTTTATCTCTAATATATGAATTGTATAAAATCATGCCCAACTGACTTTTATTAATTCATTAATTAATTTTAAAGCCTGTTTTAAGTTTTAAATCAATATTTTTATTCTGCTGCTTTATCTGCTGATAAATGAAATCTACCAATGAAAAAGCATTTATTGTTACTGCATCACAGGGAGAGTAAAGTACTTTAAATCCCAACTTACAAAACCACAGGAGAATTTATTGGTTCATTTGTTCATAAATATGAGTGAAATCATATATAATGCGTCTTCTATGTTGTTTCTTAGACGTGGACCCCGTGCCTCCGCCCCTCTCGGTGCTGAGCCCCCTGGGGGCGGCGCCTGCCGGCCCGCGGGCCTGCCTGGCCGCTGGGTTCCGTCCGAAGGGGGGCAGGATGTTTCTGGACGGGCCGGGGGGGGGCACCAACCTGAGCACCGCCCACGCCGCCCTGTCTGACCGTCTTAAAACCTACTTCTACGCCGGCTTCAGCCAGGACATCCAGTCCTGTGAGCTGGTCGGCCTGGTGAAAGAGGTGGAGGTGGAGGATGAAGAGGAGGAGGAGGAGGAGGAGGAGGAGGAGGAAGAGGGTGAGGAGGAGATGGAGGAGATGGAGGAGGAGTCTGATATTTTAATAAAATCATCGACTATCATCACTTCGTTCAACACACTGATCTTTGCCCTCCACATCCTACCTGAGATTATTAAAGCTGAACATGTGATCTGTCTCCAGGCGGAGACCCCCCGGTGGAGCTGAACCTCCACCTGCTGCTGCTGAACCTGCTCAGGCTGATCTTCACCAAGAGTCTGTTCTTCAGCGGCCTCCTCACCATCAGAGCCGTGCTCTCCTAGCCCCCCTCCCCCCACGCTCCTGGATGGAGGTCAGGATGGAGGTCAGCGTTGCCATGGGGACTCATAAAGATGATTTATGTTTTAATGTACGTGGCCACTACTGACAAAAAACCCCAAACACATGTAACATAAATAGAAATTAATAACGTAAAACCCAAACATCCAGAAAACTCTTTAAATACTGAAACACACAGCAAGAAACACATAAATGTATATTTATATTCCTAATTTTAATTCATTTCTTTTTGTCTTTTAGTAATTTGTTGCTTTTCCTTAAATTCACTTTTCTGTTCATGTTTGGCCCTCGAGCCTCCGTAGAAAGACACCTTCTCAAACCAGTAAACAAACAAAACAAATCATTTTTAAAATTAGTTTTACTGTGTAATCGTTTGATGTTATGCTGCTTTTCTCTGAATAAATTGTGTTTCTTGTGGATTTGATTCGGTACGTTTTATTCCACGATCGGCTGACGAGCTTCGTTGGCATCGGGAAGAAGTGGATGAAGAAGTGGGCCAAATATGAACGAACATAATAAAACATTAAGTTTGTCTTAGCATTGGGTGAGTATTGACATCTATGGGATGACGGGCAGAAGAAGGAGGGCAGAGCTCAACCTGGTGGACGTTGGCTCTCCTTCCTGCCTCCTACGGTCTCACATGTCTCCTCTGGTTCCCTCCGTGCTGAAAATCCCCTTTGAATCAATAAAAGTCGGGAAAACCCAAATGATTTCAACGTGTTTCTGTCCCCCGAGAAAAGCTGCTCGGTCCACAAAGCGCCTGAGGGTCAGCGCCCCCCAAACCCGGTAAGGTTCCATCACACCTCACTGAAGCGCCGTTAGTGATGAACACGACTTGATTGGTGTCTTTTCTGTGTTTGTCTCTCGGTGTGAAGCAGCAGCAGCAAAGTGAGTGATTCCACACCGATCACATGACGACATACTCATGAACTTTGGCCTCAGGAACATCTGGAGCACCTCAGGGATCGACCCGGGGACCCCTCGTTGTCGTTGTACGAACTTTAACGCGCTCACGGGTCTCTTCTTCTCTTCGCTGCAGCAGCTTGATCAGTTGGAACCACAAGTCAACAGACCTGAAAACACCCAACGTTCAGACCCCAAATATCAGATAGGAGACAGGAAGCAGCAGACGTCTGTCAGCTCACATCATCGCTGGTAACGTCACACATGGAAATAGGATCACAGTATTTATTCTGTCACAAGCAGCCTGTGTTTTAGGGTTTTACTAATATAATATCTATAATACAGAGATTAATGAGGCTAGTTAGACAGGGGAAGCAACTCACTCCACATGTAAGATATCAGAGGCAAATATTTAATAATTAGTTCCTAGTCGGTAAACATGTGTTTATTATTATTATCTTCTCATGTCCTTTAATTCAAACGTTGTTAGTTTTAATGCACAATGATGGACACTAACAAGCTGCACACTGTGGATACAGACAAGACGTTTAAGTTTCATTAAAACATGAAGTTATGGATCTAAACTCTGCTCTCAAACAAACGTCATGTTACCGGTGAACAAACACCAGATTAACAGTGTATATAGTATGTGTATAAACCTAGTTATAGTATAGTTTTAGCGCATGTCTATATATATTTATATGTATTTAAGTATGAAAAAGTCCTAAAAATACATTCCGTGACCAACGGAAATATAACATTAGTTTTTAAAAACTTAGTTGTGCTGTTTCTCTGCCGTTGTAGCCTGTTCGGGAGGTGAAATGCATTCTGGGATATTTGGATCTCACAAAAACGGACAAGTCTGCTCCGATGCATTCTGGGTAAAACTGATGCGGCCAGTCACATTCGGGTATTTCGACCGTTCTCGGCAGGACGGCCAACTTTAGAATAGGAAGAAAACAAGGACACAAGGACACAAGGACAGAACAAAACAAGAACAGAAGGACAGAAGGACACAAGGATACAAGGACACAAGAACGCATTTTGAGAACCTAAACCTGAGATTTGTTGAGGAGATGCTAACGTCTCTCTGCTGATGACGGGTTTGAACATTAGACAGGAAGCTGGAGCTTTTTAGGCCGCAGGTGAGGTTCTGTTCCAGAAACAGGTCACAGGGCTCATTGAGCTCTTTCCTTCCTTTCTGTCACACATGATACACATCTTCTCCCAGAGGAGCTTCACAACTCACAGGAGACGAAGCTGAAGACGAGTCAGATGCCAGGAGGAGTTCTGCTAAGCTAACAGCTAGCAGTGAGGACGAAGAGCCGTGCTGGGTCAGGAGGATGCATCAGGATGAGGTCGTACTTGTCCTCTACGGTGATGACGATGATCTGTGAGCTTCATCAGGACGCCGCTCCTTCAGAATGAATACATGAGGTAAATATGAAATTAAAGCATTCCAATAGTTTAAAAAACAAGAATAGGCACCAGAACACAGAAATTAGTGTGTAATACAGGTTCAAAGTTTAAAGTTCATTTTAATGCTGAAGATAAACTTAAGGTTAAAGTCAAAGATATACATAAAGATAACGATAACAATAAATTAAGTTAAAGTTGAGGTTAAAGATAAAGTTAACAATAAAGATGAAGTTAAAGATAAAGTTGAGGATAACAATAAAGATAGAGTTAAGGTTAAAGATAAAGTGAAAGTGAAAGTTTTTGAAAGACGAATTAAACAGCAGAAAGTGTCTTTGAAACCGTTTATTATTTTTCACAATAAAAGCTTATTCAGTCCAGAGTCCAGAGTGAAAAGGCCCCGTTGGTCCGGCTCGGTTTGTGTCCTGCTGCTTCTTGTTGTGTGAATACCGGAGGTTATAAGATGATCTTTGGAACTGGAACCAGTTTAACCATTGAACCCAGTGAGTACTGATCTAAATTATTATATGTTTCTCGTTATATCAGCTCATATAATAGGTAATTGTGTTAAACTTTTTAATCTCTAAATATCAATATTTCAAAAACTAAGGAAAGTTTTTGTGATGATGCTTGCTTTCACATTCAAACATTTAAAGAGAGTTAATAATTTAAATAATGATGAATATATTAGCTGAGATAAAAACTATTAATAACGTTTATTACAATTTATATTTTACTTTTGGGGGAAATGTAAAACTAATGTTCTCTTTGTGGCGTCTGGTTCAGTGAGTTTATGTACTGGTTCTTCTTGCTGTGTGAATACTGGTTTGAACAAGATCCTCTTTGGAACTGGAACCAGTTTAACCATTGAACCCAGTGAGTACAGATTATTGCTATTATTCATGTGGAGGATTATTAAAGCGTGTGAAACATCAGAACATTTGTTTCAGCCACTAAACTAAACTTTTTGTTGAGATATTTTCATCAAAAATGGTAAATTCGCATTTTCATTTATTTTCAAGGATCAGTTTTATTTAATCCGGTTTATTTACTTTGATTTATTTAATTAGGCCTTTTCACTAATATTTGCTCCTTGTTGTTCTCGTCGGTCTCTGGCCCCAGTGACTCTGCTGCTCTCTCGTTGTGTCACTGGTTCTGGTTCGGTCCAGTAGGGCTCTCCATCTTCTTTGTTGTTTGTTGTTGTTGTTGTTGTTAGAGAAGACATTGTGTGGTGGAGCGTTGGGCTTTGTGTCTTACACCTCCAAGGAGCTTCTCTTGGGCAGCGGCACCGATATCTGTTCTGTTGGTTCGATTAGTTCTATATCTCTTCTCCTGGTTCTGCTGGTTCTATTGGTTCTATATCTCTTCTCTTGGTTCTGCTGATTCTATATCTGTTCTGCTGGTTCTATTAGTCCTATATCTCTTCTCTTGGTTCTGCTGGTTCTATATCTGTTCTGTTGGTTCTATTAGTTTTATATCTCTTCTCCTGGTTCTGCTGGTTCTATTGGTTCTATATCTGTTCTGTTGGTTCTATTTGCTCTATATCTGTGAAGAAACCGAGGCCCAAAAGTTAAAGTTAAATTGAAGGTTTAAGTTAAAGTAAAAAAAGTTGGATTTTTTTGTGAATGAAACTAAACTATAAATGAATATTATTTGAAAGTGTCTTTAAACCCAAACACATGTAACCAGAAATAGAATAAAAAATAGAAAAAAGGTAACATGAAGAATGATTCAGATAAAACACAATTCTATGGGATTTTCTTGATTATAATAACTAAATTCTGTATTCAAACATTACAGGAAATGCTCGCATATAAAAGCTGTTTATAATAAATATGAGATGACTCTTATAGTCTATTCTATATCCATATATATCGGAACGCTGTTTTTCTGAAAGAGGTCGATAGTTTGTGTCCTGATGCTTTTCGCTGTGTGAAGACTGGAGGAGCAACTAAGATGATCTTTGGAAGTGGAACCAGTTTAACCATTGAACCCAGTAAGTGGAGATATGGATCCTAATGTGATTCCTATGAAACCTCTCTAAAGTAGAATTAGAATGTTTTACAGGGAAACACACAATTTCATTAAGAGTTAATTCGGTTTCTCTACTTTAAATGTCAAAAACAACATTTTATTAATGACATTATATTATTATTTTACATTACACTCATTTACTTATTGTGATTGAAACCTAATCAACATTATTTAAACTCAAATGTCCTCATTAAAGTGAGTGGAGTTTGTGTGTTGGTGCTTCTTGTTGTGTGAATGCTGGAACCAAGATCATCTTTGGAACTGGGACCAGTTTAACCATTGAACCCAGTGAGTAGCTTTAAGATTATTGAAATTGATCAACTTTACTGGTGTTTTCTCACATAAGCAGAAGATCAGCATGTTGTTTGTTCAGCATCTCTACTGTAGAATCTACATTTTATTATTTATTACGTTGATACGCTTGTAGAATCTTAAATGAAACCAGAGACAAAAAGTCTCAAAGGTAAAAACAATTTTTTAAGTGGAGTCTGGTTGAGTTTGTGTTTGAATGACAGTAAATGTCATCATTTAAATCTGATTCATAAAGAATATTCCATACTAACTATTTTATGATGGAAGTGTAAAATGTAAAAGCGCTGTTTTTCTGGATGGAGTCTGGCTCAGTTTGTGTCCTGATGATTCGTGTTGTGTGAAGACTGGTTCTTCATTGAAGATAATCTTTGGAACTGGGACCAGTTTAACCATTGAACCCAGTGAGTAACTTTATTCATTTTTAATATAATTGATAACAAAAACAACCCTGAGCTGATGACGTTAAATATAAACACATCAGCTGTTTAGTTTAACAAACATGGTTTGTTATTTATTGTCTCTGCTGTAAAATAACACTAATCTATTACATAATTGCGTAATCAATCATCTTGTTCAATAATCATTGAGACAAAAGTGTCAAAGAGTAAAAAGCAAGATTTTATGAGAGGAAATGTTTGTTGGTTTGTTTGTTTCTCTTGATGGCGTCTGACTCAGTTTGTGTCCTGATGATTCGTGTTGTGTGAAGACTGGTTCTTCATATAAGATCATCTTTGGAACTGGAACCAGTTTAACCATTGAACCCAGTGAGTAGCTTTATTCATTATGGATGGATACTAAGTATATTTGGAGCGTCTTTAAAAACGAACTACGTCTGTGTTTTACTCTAAAAAGATTAATTTGACTCGTTTGAATCAGCAAAAAAGAAAACCAAGTAGATGCATCAGCTAATAAAGTTCATCAATATCCAGACAATGATCAGTAAATCATTCCGTTTATTACCTCTACAGTAAATATCTAAATGTACATTTTATTTATAATGCAAATTAATGAGTAATAATGACATTGTCGTTCTTCTTTAAATTTAAGTCCAAAAATAACAATTTCAATATGTTTGTAGGTGGCTATCATAATTAAATGAATTAAATCCAGGACCTTTGAATGACAGTAAATGTCATCATTTAAATCTGATTCATAAAGAATATTCCATACTAACTATTTTATGATGGAAGTGTAAAATGTAAAAGCGCTGTTTTTCTGGATGGAGTCTTGCTCAGTTTGTGTCCTGATGTTTCTTGTTGTGTGAAGACTGGTTCTGTAAATAAGATGTTCTTTGGAGCTGGAACCAGTTTAACCATTGAACCCAGTGAGTACAAATATTTTATCAAAATCAGTACTAATAATTCTTATTTATTTGCTTATCCAGTTGAAAAGTTTTAAACTTAAGTTTTTACAAACAATTTGATTCTTAATACAAAAAAGGAATGTATTAATACTTGTAGTATTATATTAGCAGTTATTTACATCTTCAATAGTCTTCAATAATCACACTTTGCAGCTTTTATATGAAAATAAAAACAAAACCACAGAAGAAGATGAAACAAAGATGAAACGTTTCATTTAACCTTCCAGGCTCATAAAATCCACATTAAGTATAAAATGAATAAAAAACACATAATTCAGTCTATAAAACATAATATTTCATTCATAAAATAAATACAACAATATCTATGTATAAAGTCGATTACTTTTTTTAATTTTTCCACTTTTCAGAATCCCCCAAAAAAGTTCAATCCCCGAAAACAACATATGCTACATATATCTGCTAAAACATGAAACATAACTATAGAAACATAAAATGGACATATTTTGTTGAAAAGAGAATCTTCTTTGTATAACCCTAAATTTAGTGGTGTCAGTATTTCTACTTTGCACTAACAATATTTACATGTTAAGTTATTTATAATTGATCATTTGTAAGTTATTTTTCTCAAAAACATTTTTGTTTTTCTAAATAGTGTCTGGTTCATAGTTTCTGTCGCGCTGCATCTTGTTGTGTGAATACTGGAGGACGATTTAAAATGACCTTTGGCACTGGGACCAGTTTAACCATTGAACCCAGTAAGTAACGATATCATTTATTAATAGTTATTATGCCAACGTTCTTTGGAAACGAAACTGACTTGTGAAATGAAAACAGTCAACATATAGATCACAAATATTTAAAATAAACTCTATTCACCAGGACTCACTGATCATGATATCAGAAAAGTAAATCGGAATAATCAATTAGCATTAATTAACGACATCAACAATTTCTACTGTAGAGAAAACATTTGAAATCTAAAAACGCCTTTTTTCTGAATGGAGTCTGGTTGTGTTTGTGTTGTGGGTAAATCAATACAAGATCATCTTTGGAGACGGAACCAGTTCAAACATTGAACCCAGTAAGTTCTGATAATATAGATTTTATAGTATAGATGTTACATATATATAAATACACACATAACCCAGAGTTTATAGAATCAAAATCAATACATCAAACCTCACTGATATTAATCAATACTTAGAGCATCGTCACTTTGACAGTAAGGCCCGCTCTATTCATAACATATATGGTATGTAAATATTTTATGAATAAAGTACCAACACCATCTTATATGTAATAATAATATGTATCATATATAATAATAATTCAGATGAAAGTATTAAATGTTAAATGGGGGATTTTCTGAGTGGAGTCTGGTGGAGTTTGTGTCCTGATGCTTCTTACTGTGTGAATACTGGAAACAGGTTGATCTTTGGAACTGGCACCAGTTTAACCATTGAACCCAGTGAGTATTGATATAAATCTAAAATACCAGTTTGTTTAACATCTGTACTGTAGAACTAAAGTTATAATCTACATTTTATTATTTATGATCTTGGCTTTGGACTCTTAAAATGGAAACAGAAAGTGGTCCTCATGTTTCTGAAGTGGAGTCGGGTTGAGTTTGTGTCCCGATGCTTCTTGTTGTGTGAATACTGGATACAAGATGATGTTTGGAACTGGAACCAGTTTAACCATTGAACCCAGTGAGTATAAATATTCTATCAAAATCATTGCTAATAATTCTTTTTTTGTTAACTTATCCAGTTGTAAAGTTTTAAATTTAATTCATACAAAGAATTTTATTCTAAATCTCTGAACGTTTTTCTTAATACAAAAATGAATGTATTAATACTTGTAGTATTATATTTGCAGTTAATTATATTTCATATAGTCTTCAATAATCACACTTTGAAGCTTTTATATGAAGATAAAAACAAAACCACAGAAGAAGATGAAACAAAGATGAAACATTTCATTTAACCTTTCAAGCTCATAAAATCCACATTAAGTATAAAAATGAATAAAAAGACACAATTCAGCCTATTAAACATAATATTTCATTTATAAAATAAATACACCAATATCTATGTATAAAGTTGATTACTTTTTTTAAATGAAGAATAGATTTAAAAAAAAACCTTTTTCAACTTTTTAAAATCCCCCCAAAAAGTTCAATCCCCGAAAACAACATTCTGCTAAAACATGAAACATAACTATAGAAACATAAAATGGACATATATTGTTGAAAAGAGAATCTTCTTTGTATAACCATACATTTAGTGGCGTTAGTATTTCTACTTTAAGTTATTTATAATTGATCATTTGTAAGTTCTTTTTCTTAAAAAACGTTAAATCACTGTTTTTCTGAATAGAGTCTGCTTCATAGTTTCTGTCGCGCTGCGTCTTGTTGTGTGAATGCTGGAGGAGGATTTAAAATGACCTTCGGCACTGGGACCAGTTTAACCATTGAACCCAGTAAGTAACAATTTAATTCATTAAAAGTTATTATGCCAACAATCTTTGTAAACAAAACTGACTTGTACACAGTCAAAATAGTCAAAAATCACAAATATTTAAAATAAACTCACCTCAAATTCACCAGGACTCACTGATCATGATATCAGAAAAAGTAAATCAGAATAATCAATTAGCATTAATTAAAGACATCAACAATTTCTACTGTAGAGAAAACATTTGAAATCTGAAAACGGCTTTTTCTGAATGGAGTCTGGTTGTGTTTGTGTTGTGGGTAAATCAATACAAGATCATCTTTGGAGACGGAACCAGTATATATATATATATATATATATATATATATATATATATATATATATATATATATATATATATATATATATATATATATACACATATATATACATGTATATGTGTATATATATATATATATATACATGTATATGTGTATATATATATATATATATATATACACAACCTAGAGTTTATAGAATCAAAATTAATATTTCATGTTTCTGAAGTGGAGTCGGGTTGAGTTTGTGTCCCAATGCTTCTTGTTGTGTGAATACTGGATTCAAGATGATCTTTGGAACTGGCACCAGTTTAACCATTGAACCCAGTGAGTAGTGAACAATAAAAATGAATAATATTACTTCAAACCAGCTGCTGTTTTAAAGATTTAAAGATGCCTTTTGATTGTTTTAATCTTAAACATTGCGATCGTAAATCAAACAAACTAAAATCCTTAAATCAATAATTTCCCCAGAACACTCTTTAAATCTTTTTTTTTTAAATCTGCCCGGTTCCATTGAGGTGCCAGTAGTGACCTGGTGTGACCTGTAGTGACCTGAATTGACCTGTAGTGACCCGTGGTGACCTGAGGTGACTTGTAGTGACCTGTATTGACCCGCAGTGACCTGAGGTGACCTCGGCTCCTGATGTCAGGTGTAAGGTGATTGTTTCATATTTCATCCCTTCGCCCTCCTCTTCATGTTATTATTACCATTCATGTAAAGCTATATACCCACCGACCACCAGCATCTATAACATCAGCAAAGCAGAGAAGTGTTCTTTCATATTCAAAGAGCCGCTACACATCATGATTTATAGTCATGTTCGTCTTTACTGCTGAAATCAATGAAGTAAGTGAAGAATTTTACAGGAAAAATATTCTTCTTTGAATGCAAGAACTTATTATGATAATTACAGACGAATATTCTAATTAATATAATATATATTAACAGATATAATATAAATACAATATAACTGATGAATATAATAAAATAATATTATATACATATATATGATAATATGTGACGCAGTTGTTGCCATTATTTACTTAGTGATTCTTACTGGGAACAACAAAGTCATTTTTGGAGAGCAGAAAGTATTAATAATATTCCCATCATACATCATCTTAGATTAGATGAGTATTTCAATTGTTACATAATATTTGTCAAATATGTCATCGGTAAACTGAACAAAAACTGAAAAAAAGTTCAAAACAGCAATAATTGTATCAATGATGTTAATAATAATAATAACAGCTATCACTTAACATTACAGAGTGAGTATAATTTAAAATAGTAGTACTAGATATTCAAAAGTATAATTTAAAGTGGTAATATTTGGTATTAAAAAGTATAATTTAAAATAGTAATACTAGATATGAATGACTATTCTTTCTAGATATTATGTAGTATAATTTAAAGTAGTAATATTAGATAGTGATTGTAATCTAATTTTTTATTCCTTCAAATCCACATAGAGAAAGGTTCCGTTTTCAAATGTTTGGTTTTCATGAAAGCTCTAAACATCGTATCTTATCGTATCTTATATCGTATCTTATACTTTTTATACGTAAACACAAACTTCACTTCAGGTTCCATCTCTCGTGTCTGAAAAAATAACTGCTGCAGTTATTGTTCAGATTAAAATGTCTGTGTGACTTCGTCTGGAAATAGGAAGATCATCTTTGGAAAAGGAATCAGATTAACAGTAGAAAGCAGTGAGTATCCAAAATACTAATATTATTATTAGAATATGTAATATGTTTGGTACTTAATGCTTCTTGGTGATTTTCTTTGAGTTTTATTAACATTTTCTTTTTTGTTGTATTAACTGTGCTTTCAGAAAACCACAAAAGAAGTTCATAGTTTAACTGAACAATTCAATGAATCAGGATATTTATAATGATATTAATCCCCTTTTAGCCCAATGAACTAGTTATTCAAATTATGAAGCTTGATTTGTTGAACATTTAGTACAACATTTACATCTATTTAATTGTATTGTAACAACTCTATATTGAGTTATTATAGCATTTATTTTAACATTTATTGCACCATGATTCACATTTTTTAAATATTCATTATCTGAACCGTTTGTATACGAGTACCTTTAGCTCTATTTATTGGTAAACATCATGTATTGAGATCATAGATGTGCGGTGTCGTTGTTGGTTGTTGTTGTGATCGGATTCACTGTGTGACTTCTGGATCAGGAAGCTTTAAACTTCTGTTTACAGAAGGAATCAAACTGATCATAGAATCCAGTGAGTATCAATAACTATTCACTTAAATCTGATCGATTAGCTCGTGTTTTCTCTGCTTGTGTGATATTTTAAATAAACCCAAATTAAGAAAAAGCAGGTTGGAGATACTTTGACAACAACAGTGTAAATACGAAAGAGTCATAATGACATGTTTTAGGTCTTTAGGTGATTATTGTGTTTTTTTCAGAGATTATTGAATGAATACATTACATTACATTACATGTCATTTAGCTGACGCTTTTATCCAAAGCGACTTACAATAAGTGCATTCAACCATAGGGTACAAACTCAGGAGAACAAGAAACAAGAAAGTGCAATTTCCTCAAATAAGCCAATTTACAATTTGCTATAGATGAGTGACGTTACAAGTACAATTTAAGTGCTACATTTTGTTAGTCTTTAGTGGAGGTAGAGTCTGAAGAGGTGTAGTTCGCGGTGGAAGATGTGAAGGCTCTCTGTGGTCCTGGTGTCTTCAGAGAGCTCGTTCCACCATTTCGGCGCAAGGACAGCAAAGAGTCGAGATCTAGTCGAGTGTTTTGCTCTTAGTGAGGGAGGGACGAGTAGTTTTGCAGATGCAGAGCGGAGAGTGCGGGTTGGGATGTAGGGTTTGACCATGTCCTGGATGTAAGCTGGACCCGATCCATTCACAGCATGGTACGTGAGCACCAGTGTTTTGAACTGGATGCGGGCGGCCACCGGTAGCCAGTGAAGAGAGCGGAGGAGTGGAGTAGTGTGGGAGAATTTTGGAAGGTTGAAGACCAGTCGAGCTGCTGCATTCTGGATGAGCTGCAGAGGTCGAATGGCGGTGGCAGGGAGACCAGCCAGGAGGGAGTTGCAGTAGTCCAGGCGGGAGATGACAAGAGCCTGAATCAGTACCTGCGCTGCCTTCTGAGTGAGAAGGGGACGTATTCTCCTGATATTGTAGAGCAAGTATCTACAGGATCGCGTTGTCAGTGATGTTGGGAGTCAGGGAGAGTCGGCTGTCGAGTGTGACGCCGAGGCCGAATATATATAATAGTAGTAGTAG